AGGGGGGAGGGGAGGTTGTGGGGCCAGCTCATCCCGCCGTCCTGTCGCTCTGTGGGTCGGAAGGAAGCCCCGCGGCCGGCCATGCCCCCAGCAGATGCCCTCAGCCCCAGGGCTGGTCCAGCACAGAGACCTGGCGTCAGGGCGGGGACGTGACCCTGGACAAGGGGTCGCCCTGGGCAGGTGGGAAGCCTGGCCTGGACAGGGCCCCTCAGCCCCTCCCGTCTCTCTAGGCAGTGCCCCGTCTTCCTCCTGGACCCCAAATCCTGGAGGGTGGCTGCAGGGAGGGCTCCCAGGTCCAGGAGCCAAGTGGTTCCGAGCAGCGGGCAGCGCCCTCAGGGACCTCTCCCCGCTGCCCCCCAACAGGCCTCGCCTTTGTTGTTCTAGTGCTTTTGTCTGGTTTTGGTATTAGGGTAATTCTGGCTTCAGAAATTATTTGGGAAAAGTTCTTATTTATTTTCTGGAAGAGATTGTATAGAATTGGCTTTACTTCTCTTAAATAGGAAGAAATTCCTGTATTATATCATTTGGAGTAGGTCTGCTAGCAACAAATTCTTTTTCCCCCCCCCCTCTTAGTAGCTAATATCTTTATTTCACCTTTATGTCTGGAGAATATTTTCATTGACTGTAGAATTTTGGATGATAGTTCTCTGTCAGCAGCTAAAAGATTTGGGCGGCCTTCGGCCAGCACGTGCAGGTGCGCCTGCTGGTCAGCTGCTCGCTGCACACGGACCCCAGAATGTTCCCCTACCTGCGGTCCCTGCAGGCCTTCAGCAACCCCGCGGCCAACGTGTCCGTGGACGTGGTGAGGACCCAGTCCCCAGCGGACAGCCTCCCCGCTCCCCCGTCCCTCTCCCTCCTCCCCTCCCCCTCACGCCCCCTCTCTGTCCCCAAAGAAAGTCTTCATTGTGCCTGTGGGGAATCACTCCAACATCCCGTTCAGCAGAATGAGCCACAGCAAGTTCATGGTCACGGAGAAGGCGGCCTACATAGGTGAGCCCAGGGCAGGTCTGTGGGCAGGGCCAGGCCTGGGCCCGCAGACCCTTGTCTGAGAGGAGCCCCTGTGAGTGGGGGGACACACAGAGGCCACAGACCCGCGGAGGGGGGCGGGGGGGCGTGGCTCTCAGACCAGAGGGTCTCCGTGCAGCTCTGAGGGCACGAAACCAGCCCCGTGATCCCCGTCCCCACGGGGCTGGGCCAGGCCAGGCGCCAGCATCGCTCCTGCACGCCCCTCCAGGCACCTCCAACTGGTCGGAAGATTACTTCAGCAGCACGTCGGGCGTGGGCCTGGTGGTC